GTTATGCTGAGTTAGCCATGCGGAAATACTACTTTTTACTCTGCCGTCTTGACTCTACCCCCTTCATTTGGTTTTAAATTTTTTAAAAATCTCTTTTAGAAATTCTTTTTGGCATGTGTCCAATTTACTTTTTTTTTTTTTTGGTGGCTTTGCTTGTAGATTTTTTCAAGTCATTCTCTTCTCCTTTGTTTGCGTCTTGAACTTTTCTATCAGCATGGCCATGGAACTTCTTTATGGTGGGCTTCTTTTTTTCCTTTTCCCTCATTCTTCCTTTCTACTTCTTTATCCTGGCCATCATGCTGGGCTCTGAGCACTTCTGGGAAGCTAGGGATAGGGATATCTTTCCTGAGCTTCTGGCCTTCATTTTTTCCTTCTGCTGTTTTCACAGTTCAGTCTGGGGGCCTGCAAGTTTTCAGTGTTCCAAGAGTAGTGTGATCTGGTGTGAGAGATCTGTTCAGTGCCTTTCTAGTCTGAGCTCTAGAAATTCTTTTTTGCTTTTTGGTGAGGCAGTGAGGTCACACAGCTAGTAAGTGTCAAATATCTGAGGCCGCATTTGAACTCAGGCCCTTCCTGACTCCAAGGCTGGAGCTCTGTCTACTATGCCACCTAGCTGTCCCATGAGCTCTGATAAATTTTTGACCAGGTGTGGGTCTGTTAACTTGTCTGTCATTGAATTTCAATAGACTGTTGCTGGATTCAGTCATGCAGTCCATTGGGAGGCTCTGCAGGTTTAGAATGATTGAACTGCTGGCTCCCCTTTGTTCTGGGACTCCTGCCCTAATTATTCCATTGCAGGATTAGATGTTAGACCAAAGGCTGTCCTGTTCTTGGACTCAGAGCTATATAGCTATGTTTTCCACACTTTTTTCTTAGCTAATATGGGCCTACACTTGAGACTGCTCTTTTTGTTGTGGATTTGTGACTTAGAACTAGGTCATGGGCAACAGAGCCACCAGATGACACCAGTTCCTGCACCCAGCACTAGTTAGGGATCTCCTAGGATTTCTTTCTAACCTGGTGCTTTCTGCCATCGTGCTCTATTTCGTTTTTCTTTTCATCCCTGGGGCCAGGAATGCTGCTTGTTCTAACCATGCCACACTGTCGGCCAGCCCTAGTCCTTGTATCCTCAGACTTCTCTGTCTCCTCAAACTGCCCTGGAATGGAAAAATGACTCACTGTGACTTCTTCTTGGCTTTCCTTATCAGAATTTGGCTTGGTCTTTCATTGGAATTGTTGTAGAGTAAGTGTATTGGGTGAGCTAGGCAAAAATGCTTCTTCTCACTGTGCCATCTTGACTCACCCCCAAACACTTGTTATGTTGTGAAGTGAACTTTTAACAGAGGTATGCTGGAATCAGCTACAACTGGAGAGCTGATTGTTAAATTGTCTGTGCACATTCACACTTTGGAAAGCAAATCAAGGCTTGATTTATTATTTTATTATTTATCTGCTGTGTACTCAAACTGATGGAAAAAAGTTAATGCAGATTAAATTGGTATAAAATAGTTAGATAAAGGATAATTTGAGAGGGAAAAACACCAGCGCTTGGGAAGATCAGGAAAGACTTTGTTTAGAATGTGGTGGCTGATTTTTATCTTAAAAGATGAGAGGGACTCTGTGAGGCCAAGGTAAAGAAGGATTGTATTTCAGTCATATAGGACAGGCTTTGAAAAAGTGCTGAGATGGGAGATGGAGTATTTTGAATGAAGAATAGAGAGGTTTATTTGACTGAATCTCAGACTAAGGGAGAGGAAGGAATGTCTAGTGAGGCTTCAAAGGTTAGATTGGGTCTAAGTTCTACAGGGCTTTAAAAGGTAAACACAAGTTTATATTTTATTCTGGCAGACCTTGGGAAGCCATCTGAGTTGATTGAGTAAGGGAGTCAGATGGTCAAATCTGAAGTTAAGAAAAATCACTTTGGCAGTGAGACTTAAGGCATGGAGACCAATTAAGAAGCTGTTGAAATAATCTAGGCACAAAGTGATGAGGGCCTGAGCAAATGTGATAGTTGTGTGAGAGGGGAAAACAGGTCACATACTGGAGATGTGAAGGTAGAAAAGGCAAAGTTCAGCAACTTATTTGATATTTAGGGTCAAAGAAAGTGAGGAGTAAAGGATAAAGCCAAGATTATTAATCTGAGGCACCAAAAGGATGATGGTACCTTCATTTGTACAAGGTCACACAGTTTCGACCACAGTATTATTATTCTTTGAACTATAACATGCCCTCTCCTTATGTCTTAGCTGGCTTTTATAGAGTTCCATTACGACTCTATCAACTTGAATCATCCTTAAGCTATAATTTTTACATTCATGTTCAAGAGCAGTGATTCTCATGCTTTGTCACCCCCCTTTTTGGTCAGGTTTGGATATCATGGTTTACTTTTGGTCCATTTCCTTTTCTAAAATTTCAGTGTGATATGCATTTTATTTGAACTTTTTTGACAGCTTTTCTATTTGTATCACCTCATATCCAAATAGATTCCTCTCCACCCCACCCCACTCCCATTCTGAAAGGTGTGCCATTAGATTTTTTTTAAAAAGCAGTGCAGCAAAACTAACAACATTTCAACAAACTCTAACAGTAGCATCTGCAGCATTCTATACCTGTAATCCCACATTTCTCCATTAAAGAGCAAGAAATTCATATAGTTATGTCTTCTTTGAGACTAGTTTTGTTGTAGGTACACACTATTCAATCCCATTTTTATTTTTATTTTTTGCTGTTCATGTTCTTTCCCATTCATATTGTTGTATTGATTATATACATTGTTTTCATTGTTCTGGTTACTTTGCATCAGTTCATGTATGTTTTGTAATATTCTCAAGTTGTATTCCTCAAGTCCTAGAAGCCTTAGAATACAACAGCAGGTCTGGAGGGTAGATCGGCACGGCAGATGGCAAGGCCTGGTGGACTTTACAGAGCATATTATAAAGGCTGGTGGTTTGGTATCTTACTTGAAGAATTGTTTGGACTGGGTCCCTGCCTCTCATTCAGGTGTTGTTAATGGCCCTGTTTCTGATGGGTGTATGTGATCTCTGATTTATAAGGACTGTGGATAACAAGAGTGCCATTATGTAGTTAGGGAAGGGAGCACAATGCTTAATGGAACTTTGGTCATGGGGAGTAAGGAAAGGGCTTCCTGGGGCTTGCTCCTTCTGTGTCTTCAGGCCACTCTCTGGAATCTGAATAGGTGGGCTAGAGAAAGGGAGGGGGAGGTCACACCTTCCTACAACATTGGCTTCTGCTGGGCCATTTGGCCACAGTATTTTGAGGGCACAGTTATATAAGTATATGTTTGATTAATATTAAAGTTTATAAAGAACAAAGAAATTTCTAATTTTGTCAATGAATTATTAAAACTAAAATAGAATATAGTATGATCGAGAGGAAAAAAAGGTACAATTAAAGTTATTAGAGCAGTAAGCCAGGAAGGCTTTAGATAAAATATGAATTATGAGAAATAGCATAGCTTAGGGCACAAACATCTTACTTCATATTGAGGAAGACCGGTTCAGATCCTGCCTCTATGACCCTGGACAAGTCATTTAACATTTCAATGCCCTAGGTGACTTTCTAAGATGATCAGTTGCAGAGAAGGCACTATATAGAGGGAGTTTACTCATCTGGGAAGTTGTCCATAGCAGTTCCAGGTCTAGTTCTTCTCTCTATCACTATGAATTATGAGCAGGGCTGTAGAGAAAGAAATGTGCTTTATTTGTTAGAACTGCGTAAAATAAGTGAGTAAGTGTGTGAAGATAGAGTAAGATGAAAGTAGTGAGAATGGAAAACACATATTTGGATTTGAAAAAAGTTAAGGATAGTTAAGAAAGACATTGAGATAAGAAAGATACCAAAGGAAAGTACTTTTGTCATGTCTAGACTATAGAGATAACTGTTAAGCAATTATATAATCATAAATTTTTGAGGAGTCACATTTTAAGTAATATTTTAAATATTGAATATTTAAATATTGAATATTTAAGTATTTAACTTAGTATTTCACTACTGTAACAAATACTACCCTTGGTGCAGTTCAAATGGAAGGTTTCCCTTTAGATTATAAGATCCTCTAGATGCAACTGTTGGTGGATAATATTATACTGATTACATCAAGCCCCATAATACTAAAGGGCTCCCTTACTGTGGCCCATCAACCTATAATTCACAAGGCAAAAAAAAAAATCAAGTGCATGACCTTTTGCTTAGACATTGCAATTGGATGAGTATTTAATCCTCAATACAACGTGTCTTAGACTGACACCATAGATGAAAATGACCCCAATTGAATAGATGAAGAAATGTGGACTAGATTTTATTTGTAAAGTTATGCAGTGTTTTCATTGATCTGAGTGGTTTCTAGAAATGGAAGCCTGATCTTTTCCACACTAGTATTCTTTCAGTTATGGCTGAAATTCTCTGATTGCCAGGATCTCTGAAAATCCATATTTATGGTTGACCTAAAAAGTAATGGAGAGACACACAGTAGGTACAAGTAAACTGCTGCATATTATCAGTGATGACTTCTATGAAAGAAGTAATCTGTAAAATATCATCAAGTAAATGTATAAGGAAAGGAGCTGGTAATTGAATAAGAACCTGGGATGGAATTTTAAAAGTCCTAAAGAAAGGGCTCTGAAATAATGATAGATTTTCTGAGGAACACTTATGGGAAGACGTGAATGTAAAAGAAAGGTATGCATTGAATTTTGAGTGGAGATGGTATAGCAATGATTACTTATACCGTACTAAGATATTTCAGTGTGCAAAATATATTTACTTTTAACAGTATATTGTTTGTTCCACTGTTGTGTAAGCTATTATAAACAGAAAAAATAGTATTCTGATTTTGTAGTCCCAAGGAGTAAATGTCACATATGAGTGGGCTTTAAAAACTAATGGGACATAACTATAATCCTTTTTTTTTTTTTGAAAGAACGAATGTGTCAATAATATTTTTTTTTCAGTATATGATAATTACTGAAATTTTTTCTTTTTAGACAGCATGTTTTCGAGAAGAAAGGGATGTATTAGTGAATGGAGACAACAAGTGGATTACAACTTTGCACTATGCCTTCCAGGATGACAATTACTTAGTAAGTATCATACTTATGCACATAGTATTAGCAATATTCATCCTTGCTTAATAAGTTGTTCTTTTGGAAGGATTAAGCTTATGTATTTAAGTTAGTGTGGTATAGTGATAAAATATTGCACTTAGAGATTGGAAAATATTGGTTCAAATCCCATGTCTGCCATTTACTACCTGTGTGATCTTGAGTAATTCACTTAATCTCTCTGTGGTAATGTTTTGGGTCCAAGTCTAGTAATTGGGTGAAATACCTAAATTAAGATTTTTCCCACCTCTTGTTTTGTTAAAAACAGCACTTTTGTATCTTAAGTTATTTTTGCTTAATCTACTTGAAGGCAACTTTAGTCGCATTGGCTCTCTTTCACCCTCATATTCCTCATACCTATTTTGTCACTTCCTTCCCTGATTTTGGAGTTTTGCTTTACTTATTAATTCCTTTTTCCTTTCTTCTAGTTTTCTAGTTCTTTCCCTCCTTTTTTCTCAGTTAAGTAGACAAGTAAAATACTCTTTCCTTTCTTTCTCTTCACCTTGTTTTGTATGTTTTAAAGTTTTTCATTTTCTGTACCTTTTTCCTAAGAAGGATTTTTTTATCTCATTCTTTTATTTCCCTTCTTATATTTTTCTTTTTGTTTTAGATAGATTCTTCTGTCTGTTCTGTGATTCTTGGCCCTTATATTTATACATTTTCCCTTTAGTTTCTGTATTCCTCATGAAATTAGAGCATCTTAGGTACCCATTTTAAGTTCTGTCTTCTAAATAATTTCTCTATTATTTTCTTGAAGATATTGCCCTCAGCTCCCTTTTTCTGTTGTCCCTCACTATTAGAAATGCCAGTTTCTTCAAATGGTAAAAAAGATAGAAATATTGCATCATGGTAGGAATTTTCCTTTGTCCTTGATTATACAGTTTTTAACAACTCTTTACCTTCCCCATTATCTCTGCTTCCTCAATCTCCCCTTCTTCCAAAATTTCCCATGAAAACTCCTTTCAGGGTCCGTGACCTCCCATATTTCTGGTTTACAGTTGCATTCAAGATTAATGGTTTCTGTAGGCACCCCAAATTCCTGCAGAATTTGCGTATTGGAAGGTCTCTATCTGCCTTATAGAATATTTTTCTCCCATTGGGAGCATTCTTTAGTGGGACCCACTCTCATCACTGAAACAGGATTTCTTCCTTTCTTTCCCATTGTTTTAAATGTGTTTTTTGACATCTCACTTATTCTGCCATTGAATGAAGAAAAGAAATTTTTTTTAGAAAAAGATGCACAAAATGAGAAAAAAAAACCTAGTAAGTGAAACAAGCAAGAATAGGACTGCATTAAAGTGAATTGTGCACAAATAAAAAAAATGGCAAAGTGTACTGTCTCTACAGAGGAAAAGAAACCAAAAAAAAGTACCTAATTTCAAGGAAAAACCTATTAGAGAGATAACTGGGGGAAGATACTGTTTTACTTTTATAATTTTAAATGTAAATGAATTAAATGATCCTATAAAGTGAAAAAAGTGATAATTGACAAGAAAAAAAATGCTATGATCTTTTGCTTACAAGAAACACAACTTGTAAACAAAAAAATAGAGTAAAAATGAAGAGCTAGAACAAAATTTACTGTATATCATATGAGCCTAAAATATAAGAGTTACAATTATGCTATCAGATATAGCAAAGATAAAAATCCACAACATAAAAATAGATAAACAAAGAAACTGCATTATGCTGAAAGGAGCCATAGAAAACAGACCACCATTAATATTAAACTTAAATTGTTCAAATGCCTTAGTATGTAATTCATAAAGGAATATTAACTGAATTTCAAGAAGACATAGTAATATAATAATGCAAGAACAGTTCAGTGTCTCTTCCTTAGCTTCAGACAAATATAACAGAAAGATAAATAACTGGAAAAGTTGGGCACACTACTCAAGGAACTAGAGCTAAAAGTGTCTTCTTCTCTCTCTCTCCCTCCTTCCCTTTGTCTCTCTCTCTCTTCCTCTCTCTCTCTCTCTCTCTCTCTCTGTCTCTCATTGAGAGGACAAGAAGTTGAATTTTTACTGCTTGAAAAAAATTTAATTTAAAAATTTAGTAGAGGATTAATAGAATTAGTATGCATTTAAAAATTGAAAGCTAATAAATAAACATACACCAAATAAGCACCAAATTAGATGTTAAAGATATTAAAAAAATAGAAGAGGAATAAATAAACTGGAAGCCAGAGAATCTATATAAATCAGAAATAAAACTAAAAGCTGATTCTTTGAAAAGACTAACAAAATTCGTAAACCTTTGCCAATATGATTACGAATAAGGGAGCAGAAAATCAAATGAACGAAAAAAACCAGACAAGATGAAATCACAACACAAGCCAAAGAAACAAATAGATTTATAAGAACTTGTTCAGCAGTTATAAGCTAACAAAACTGAGAACACAAAAAAAATAGAGGAGTCCCTTGAAAAATATAAATTACCGAAACTAACAGAAGAGTGAATAATGATCTTAAATAATCCAATTTTAGATAAAGAAATAGAAATAGCCATAAAGAAGCTACCAAAGAAAAAATACTTTTGGTCCTCTTTGGGTCACAGGAGAATTCTGTCAAACTTTTAAAGAGTTGTTAGCACCAAGTGCTACACAAATTCTCAAAATTGAGAAGGAAAGTGCTTTATCAAATTCCTGTTGTGAGACAACTTTTGTCCTGGTACCTAAACCAAGGAAGGATAAAGCACAGAAAAATTATAGACCAATATCATTAATGACTGTTGATTCTCATATTTCAAATAAAATCCTGTTAAATAGATTACAGCAATTTATCCAAGAAATCATTCATTATGACCAAGTTGGATTACTATCAGGGATGTATAGATGGATCAGCTTTAGAAAAGCAAGCAACATACTTAATAAAAATCCCTCCACAACTATATTATTATCAAAGTAGTTGTGGAAAAAGTCTTTCACAAAGAGCAACACTTATTTATGCCAGAAGTCCTATTGGTTAGGAGCTAAAAGCAAGCAATGGCCATATACTAGAAGCTTTCCTAAATAAATTCAAGAGTAAAGCAAGGATGTCTTCTCTCCTCATAATTATTAGATATAATTTTAGAAAAGGTAGATGTAGCAATAAGACGAGAAAGGAATAGCAGTTCCCCCCCACCCCCGACTACTTCTTCCAGTCCAGTTCCCATAGCTGTCATTGAGGAGAGAAACCATTGTCAAGAAAGGGACCGCCTTCCTCATCACCACCAATAATATCTGCTGGACTAGAATATCCCTATCCCTTGACCCAGAGATTCCACTACTGAACTTATGCCCAAGGACATAATTTATAGTAAAAAAAAAATCCTCATATACATGAAATATTTATGGTAACTTTTGCGGATAAAAGAATTAAAAATAGTCTGTGTCTGTTGATTGGGGAGTGTATAAACAATTTATGGTCCATGAATGTAAGGGCATATTGCTTTGCTATAAGAATTGTCAAATATGAAGAATTAAGAAAAAGCATAGAATAATTTACTTGATCTGATGCAAAGTGAAATAGAACCCCAAAAACAACATACAAATTGACTATAACAATGTAAGTATAAAGAATAACCACAAAGCAATCAAAAGTGTTATAAAATTATAACAAGCATGGCTCTAAAGAAGAGATAGAAGAAGACATTCCTCCCTACTCTTCTTTTGAGATGGGAGGTTCACGTTCACGAGTCTTGATACTCAGTAAGCATTTATTAAGTGCCAACTATGTGCCAGACCCTGTGCTAAGTACTTTAGATGCAAAAAGAGACAAAAGACAATCCCTGCCCTCAACAAACTCAGAATCTACTAAAAAACTAAATCTACTAAATTGGTACATTGATATATACCTAATAAGTATTGTACGCTGTACCTGTTTGAAGATTTTTTTCAATGTATTTATTGGTTTTGATGATTTTTCTTTCTATTCTTTTTCTTTTAAAAATATTATTTGTAATATGTGGGATATGGGGGAAATTCTAGTGATATAAAAATTTAAAGATATTAATCAACATTTGTTTTAAAAACTTTAGGTATTTTTCTTGAACATACTACTTCATATTTTAGATATAATTACTTAGAGAAATTTGTTTTGTCTTTTGTTTTGAAAATGTCTGGTATCATTTCTGTTACTAAGGTTTTCTTACTTTACAGAATCAATTGGAATCTTAGGTTTGCAGGTTTCTCATATGCAGGCCTAAGCAATACTATCCCTCACATGTCTAATCAGTTATCTAATCTTATTGGTTCTACCTTTATCTCTCAGCTTTGTGCTTTTTTTCTCTATTCACACAGCTATCATTTTAATAGATGCCTTCATTATCTCTCACCAGGACTTTTGCCGTAGTTTCCTAATTGGTATCTCTGCTTCAATTCTCTCCCCTCTCCAAATTAGCTGTGTAGCATCTTTACACAGAAATTTAAAATTAAATTTAAAAATTTCTGTTTTCATGTTTAAATTTTGTAATTGTTATAATTTTAGCACAGTAGTACATGTAGATAATTTAGGCTGGCACAAGGTCCTTTTCATATCTGACTGAGGTGAATGGGTGACAGTTTTCTAAGGGAACGTGCTTTTGCTGGGAACCTATGAAGGCTGGATAGAGGGGCCAGGATATATGATATATGTATAGCTGAGTAAAAATTAATGGCTATGAGCGAAGGGTTCTCGAGGGTATAGGACTTCTGATGAAAGACTGGTATACCAGTGGGCCAGAGAACCATGGTCACTTATCACAGGACACTTGAAGTCTCAGTAGAGGCAATATAATGTTCTTAGGCTCTGCCCCTCTCCCTGTCTTTTTATAACCACAATCACAGCAGTAAGGGAGCAAATGCCACCCCCCCCAGTGCCCCCCAATAGAGTCTTAGGAATGTCTTTCAGCACAGTCATCTTTCATTATTGCTTATGTATGTTCTATGGGAGGTCAGTGTCTTCAAACCCCTAATGGTAATGGCAGATGGGCTTGGATTAGATGGCAGGAATGTTTTTACTGCTGCCCACTCAACCTTAAGAAGCAATAGATAATATAGCCTGGAGGTGAGGAGGATTAACCCTAAAGTCTCTGTTGTGTCCCAAGGTTTCCTCCCCTCCCTCATGTGAAAACTGGTCTTGAAATTTGGTTAAGAGTGTGACTGATAATCAGATTGGTTTTTTGGTTGTTTGTTTTTTGGTTGTTGGTTTGGAGGAGGTTTCTGTCAGCACCCAAACTTACCCTCCATTTATGCTCAAAATAGAGACCCAGTCTTGGGAAATGCTGCCATAGAGAAGTAGCTAGAGAGAAAAAAAATGGATCTAGGGCATTTTTGTTTCATATCTGCGTAGCTTTTGGGTCCTTGGGCATGTGTTCCACAACACCCACGTTGATGTAAAACCAACGAGAAAAAATGAAAACTTGGCAACAATTCAAGGAATCAAGATAGGCTCCAAGATTAGATAAAGAAGGATGATAACCAGACTGTACACCAAGACATGAAAAAGTTGCTGTCTCTCCCCTTGATCTTCATCCAGTTGGCTGTTTCCCAGCCTAGGCTCTGCCATTACCCCACCCCTCTTTCACTCAAAAAAAGCTTTTGAGAGTCAAAGAGAATGGTGAGGGAGAATCCTGAGTTTCAAGTTTGTAAGATATTCTTTAGGGGTAGGTGGGGAAATTGGCTCCCAGTTACCCCCTAGCAGTATAACTTATTCTTAACCTTGTTGTTACCATGTTCTTTTCACAAATTGATAATTCCAGAATTTTTGTAGACATTTCTTCTCAATTTATAGGTTCAGGAATCCGCCCCTTCTTTCTTGTAAAATAGAGATAACCATTTTTCCTTGCAGTCAGTTAGCATTCCTCATTTCACCTAATTTCCTAAGGACTACTATCTTTGACTTTGTCAGTTGCTAAGCTTGATTCTTCTGTTTGACTGCTCCTTTTCTATTTCCTTTGCTGTATCATCATTCTTTTCCTATCCACTAAGTATATGCCAACACTCTGTTCTAGACCTTTTATTTCTTTGTTCTCTATCGTCAGCTCTTCAGGGTTTAATTTTGATTTATATAAAGATGAATCCTTGAACTATTTATCACCATCTTTTATTGGGCGTTTTCAGCAGTCAAATTAAAATCAGCATTTCGAAGAAAACTCATTAGCACCATGCCCTCCCAAGCCTACCCCTCTCTCATAATTCTGTTTCTGCGAGACACCACTATCTGTTCAGTTTTGCCATCTCAAATGTATCTTTGACCCTTCACTCTGCCTTACTTCATATGTCTGATACATTGTCAATCTTTTTTATTCTTCTTCCACATCTCATCAATACTACTTATTGTTTTAAGGAAAGCTCCATTTATTACTATAGTTTTCAACTTCTTTTTAAAACAAGAATGGTGGTTGTATTTTGATAAGAGCCTTTTCTGTATCTGTTGTTATAATCATATGATTTTTGTTGTTTTTGTTATTAATGAGGTCAGTTATGTTGTAATGTTGAACTAGTCCTTCATTCCTGATATAAATACAGCCTGATTATAATGTATGATCTTTGTGATATATTGCTATAATCTTCTTGCTAATATTTTATTTAAAAATTTTGCATCAATATTATCATCGGAATTGTATTCTTTCTCTTTTATGACTCTTGCTGGTTTTGGTATGAAGACCATATCTGTGTCATAGAAGAAATTGAGAAGGACCCTACTTTACTATTTTTTAAAAACAACTTATAGTATTAGAATTCATTTTTATTAAGTGTAAATCCATCTTGTCCTGTGATTTTTTTCTTTGGGAGTTCATTTATGGCTTGTTCATTTAGGGTTATTTTAGGTTTTTGTTTATTTATGGCTCAGTTTCTTTTTGTAAGATAGGGCCTATTCTATTTCCATTCAGTTAATCTAGGCAATTTATATTTTTGTAAATACTCATTCATTTAGACCATCAGCTTTATTGGCATGTAGTTGGGTTAAATAGCTCCTAACAATTGTTCTTATTTCTTCATTGACTGGAAATTCACTTTTTTCATTTTTGATATGGTTTTTCTTTTTTTCAAACATCAAGTGAGCTAAAAGCTTTTCTGCCTTATTTTTTTTTTTTTTTTAACAATTTAGTATTTCTGTGTGGTATGGTATTAGAGGTTTTTAATTTGTTGGTGTTCTAGGTTTTGTTTTGTTTTTGTTTTTGCTTGTTTGTTTTTTTGTAAAATGCCTGTTAATCTGTTCTTTCTCTCTTATTGATGTTAGTATTCAGAGATAGAAATTTTCTTCTAAGTTTTACTTTGGCTACATCCCACACATTTTGGTATGTTGCCTCATTGTTGTTATTATCTTTAATGAAATTATTGATTTATGATTGACCCACCCAACCTTTAGGATTAATTTATTTAGTTTCTAATGAATATTTAATGTGTGCTTAAAAGACCCCTTATTGAATATAATTTTTATTGCATTACAGTTTGTAAAATACTTATTAAAATTTCTGCTTTTCTGAATTTGTGAAGTTTTTATGAAGTTGTCTTACACAGCTACAAACAGGTATACTCTTTTTTTCCTCCATTCAGTATTCCCTAGCTCTATTACATCTAACTTCTAAAATTCTATTGATCTCCTTATCTTTTTTGTTTATTTTATGGTTAGGTTTGTACTGGTCTGAGAGGGGATAAATTGAAGTCTCCTACTATTATATTTTTGCTATCTATGACCTTCTTAAACTCTTTTAACTTTTCCTGGGAGAATGTAGATGCTATGCAATTTGATTCATATATGTTCAGTATTGATATTCATTGTCTATGAAACATTTTATCAAAGCATAGTTTCCCTGTTTATCTTAATTAGGTCTATTTTTACTTTTGCAAAACTCTATTTATGTGAAGTAATTTTCCCCATTCTTCCTTTCCCTTTCTCCCTCTCCCAGTGCATTTTTCTTCTCCATTCTTCTTTTGAGATCATCCATGCATAAGATCATACTTATTCTCTCTGTCTATTTAGGAGATCTTTGATAATAAAGTTCTGACATGTTTCATGTATCATCTCCCCATTTATGAAGGCAAACACCTTAACCTTTTTTAGTCCATTATGATTTCTTGCTGATATTTAGCTTTTATAATGCTTCTTTTGACACCTTTGCATGTCAAATTTTCTTCCTAGCTCTGATCTTTTCATTATTAATGCTTGCTTGGAAGTCTTCTATTTTTAAAAAAGTCCATTTTTTTCACTGTAGGATTATACTTACTTTTGCTGGGTGTGTTATTCTTGGTTATAATTCTTTATCCTTTTCCTTCAAGAATATTTTCTGCTAAATTTTCTAATTTGCCCCACACTTTAGACCACTCCTTTCTTCCCTGGATCTGTGACACGAAACTGAATAATTGGCTATAGAACTGCCAGATGGCTTCCATTTCTGTATGCATTGTTAATTCAGGGATGTCCTGGGATCTCTTCCTGCCATGGTGCCCTGGGTTAGCCTTCTTTCTGTCCCTGAGAGCTCTCCACCATCTCCTTATGTGTTGCTGGTCAGTCTTTTTCCCTACTGTCTGCAAACCTCTCTTTCTGTATCCCTAATCTTCGGTGGTCTGGAAAGATGCCTCACTTGACTTTTTCTTGGCTTTCCAGATCAGAATTTGGACCAATCTGTTTTCTAGATCGTCATGGAGAAGGAATAGGGAGAAGTCTGGTTCAATTGCTTCTTCTCACTCAGCTATTATATTTCTGCCTTAGATGCCAAACTATCCTAATGTATTGATTTTTCCTATGTCACTTCTCTGTTCAGTAAAATCTTGTCTCCTGTTGCCTCCAAGATCAACTACAGTCTCCTTCCTTGGGCAATTAAATCTCTTTACAACCTTGCTCTAACACACTTTTCCACACTTATCGTCCATTATTCCCTCAATAAATATGCAGTCTAGACAAATTGGCCTTCTTTCTTTGTCTTCTGAACTTTTCATCTCTCCCCTATGGCATGGTAGGACCATCCACCATGCCTGGATTATACTCTCTCCTTATATCATCTGCCTCTTAGAAGCTTGAGCTTTCTTCAGAACTCAGCTCAGATATGACTGCTTGGTGATCCTGTTATCTCTTCCTAAATGCTGCTGCCTTCCTCTGACGTTAACTTGTACTTGCTTGGCATATATGTTATCTGTACTTATATGTAGATGTCTTACGAGAGGTGGTATATAAGAATTTGAGAAAAAATATGGTTTGGTTATATAGTAAGTATGGCTAATAGATGGACAGCCTGAGAGCAGTACTGGTTCCAATGGAATGTGAAAAAGGTCCAGAAGAACATTTTCAACATATCTTTGGAGTAGCTGCAGGAAAATCAATCACTAGGAGCCACACAGGTTGAGAAGTCAAGACTGGTTTGTGACCTGTGTTTGGGCATATTGCTCTGTATTAGTAAGATTACAGGCCTATTGAAGTAGTATCGTAAGTATTTTCTTAATCATTGGATATGAATAGATCAAATATTGCCTGTGGAGGATTTGTAATGGCAGTTTTTAATATGAAGGATCTTCATATTCATAAAGGTTTGGTTACACTTGTAGATCTTTCTATACAGTTCCTTTTTAAAAAATGGATTCATAAGAATTCCCTTGGCATTTGACCTTGGGAATGTATTCAATTTTTCTTTCTGAATAAATGTTATATTTCCCTTCACAGTACCTGGTTATGGATTACTATGTTGGTGGGGATTTGCTTACTCTGCTCAGCAAGTTTGAAGATAGACTGCCTGAGGATATGGCTCGATTTTACTTGGCTGAGATGGTCATAGCCATTGATTCAGTGCATCAGCTACATTATGTGCACAGGTAAGGAAAAATAGCCCTGAAGATCGGGAAATTTCTTTAAGATAATGTATTATATTTATATAATATTCATGTGTTAGGGCCAAAGATCATTCTTCACCATCCTTGTGGAAATAGAGATCAGTTCTCAACAAACTCCCAAATCTGTGGGCTAAGATCATATACTAATATTGTTAGCAGAAAGAGTTATTTTAGATTTAGGTAACTTCAGTTTCATTTGTCTACTATTGACTATAAATTAGAGAAAATTTGTAAATTTTAGACTCTTAAAACTTCCTAAGTTGACTTATTTCAGTTAATATTTTTAATAGGAAAAAACATCTGAAAAAATTGTGTTTAGGATTGGTAACAAATTTGCTTATATCTATTTTTGGACATTTGCCCAAGTTTTAGGGTCATTATATTAAATAGTACCTCTCACTCATTTTTTACACCTGGATTCTGAAAGTCTATGAATGTTTAAAAAATTAATGCTTGCCTGTTCTGTAGTATAAATATGAAAAGTTGTATAAATACTCTCAGCAAGTGTTATTCCATGTAATGAGCACTATCCATTTCTTGAATGCATTAGGTTACTGGTTTATGAAATTTGTAGCTTAAAAAATATTTCACTCAAATAATTAAAATATATATAGCATTGAAATGTTAGAACATAAAATTTCAAAAAACAATTATTTTTCAATATTGGGACAGACGCTTGAAATTGGTCTGTAACTGTTTATAGAATTCTTGAGCTTCTGGTCAGATATAGAATGTCTTTGAAGTAAAACATTGCAAAATAATTGAACAAGAGGCTTACAGAAATGGTAAAATTATTTCAACCTTGTTTCTTATTTCTTAAGGAAAGACATTGACTACAGATTCCATGACACTGATAAATGCTCAGGTTCTTGGTCATAGAGGAAGCAATGGATACTTTTTTTTTCTTCTGATAAACATAAATACAACTCTGAAAACAAGGTATAGTGGATAGTTGGCCTCTGAGTCAAGAAGACCTGGGTTCAAGTCTCCTCTTTATTTCTATATTCTAAACAACTTTCCAGTGGGAGAAAATGGATACTTTCAATAGAACCATGCTCATAGAAAATGCCTATACCTCAAATAAACTTCTCTGACCTCCTTCCTCAGTGATTTCTGCCTAACAACTCATTTGACATACCACAAGAAGAATTCAACCATATATTTCTTCTTATTACCAAGGCAAATTAAAGCAGAAGTCATATTTGTATAGAATATGTTTGACATCCTACCTCAGACTCCCCCAGTTAGCTATGCCAGGTTCTTGTTATTTTTTTGGGTTAGCATTCTCTCCAAACTGTTATTCAGCAAGCCCCCTACCAGTATTTCGCTTTTTGCCAGTCAATTCATAACAAAGGTATTTTAACTAAATGCCAATGTGTATAATATAATAATATGCTATTATCTCCATAATCATTGTGTTGGCTTTTCCACAAATACATGCGTACTCAGTATGAAGAGTGTATCTTTATATGAATTTTGTAGGTAATCCATACATGATGAATACACGTGTCTGCAAGTGACAGCTCTTGCTTCTGACACTATAAAGTTACAATTGTCATCTTTTGATATCATTGTATTCTTTCTGCTCATACATATATATCCCCTTCTTTTCTCTGACAGTGCTACTGCCTTGGTATAGTCCCTTATCACCCCACTCCTGAACTGTTGCAAGAGACTTCTAATTGGTGTCTTCCTACCTCAAATCTCATCTTCCCTAGGCCTTTAGACACAAATTGATCTTTCTAAAGTACAGATCTGATCACATCTGACCTATTCAATCAACTCTAGGGGCCTCTCATTCACCTCCAAAATAAACTACAAAATCTTCTATTTTGTTTTAAAAGCATTTCGTAACCTCTCTTTTCTACATTTCTCGTCTTCTTGTACTTTACTTTCTTTCACATACTCTGTGAGCCAGTGACACTGAACCCCTTGTTGTTTCTCCCATACAGATTCTGTCTCCAAACTGAAGGTTTTCACTAGCTTTTCCCCATGCCAGAATCTCTCCAACCTCATAAATGCCTCCTACCTTCCTTTAAGTCTCAACCGAAGTCCTATTTTCTGCAAGAAGCTTTTTTCATTTCTTCTTTTATCTTGGTACTTTCCACTGAGACCATTCCCATTTTATCCTGTGTATATCTTGTTTGTACATTGTTGTTTTCATATTGTCTCCCTCATTGGACAGCAAGCTCTTTGAGAGCAGGGACTGTGGAGTGTTTGTGCCTAGCTTTCTTTGTATCCTCAGTGCTTAACACAATTCTTGGCAAATTATTAAATGTAGATACTTAATCAGTGCTCATTCACTGACTGTTCGATGTGCTCCTTGGCTGGTGTTATCCTCCTTCATTTCCTGTCAGTTATGGATCATCCCTTCCCTACAACAGAGATGACTCCACCTTTGTCCACCAATCTCATGACTGACCTCTCTGGCTGTTTTCAGGTTCACCTAATACTTTGTTTAATGATAACCATGGATGCTGTGGATAAATGAGTGAATGTTGAAGAGAGTAAGCTTCTCCACTGTGAGAGAGAGAGTGGCTACTCTTCTTCCAGTTATCCACATCAACATCCTTCTGTGCATCAGCTATAATCTTCAGCTGACTTATTGACTTGCTTGTGAATAGAACCAGAACAATATGTACAAAGAAACAATTTTGTGAAGACAACTTTGAAAGACTCAGTACTCTGATCAGCATTATGTCCAACTACAATTTTAGAGGAATAAGGGTAAAAGTACTGTCCACCTCATGACAGGCATGTAAAGGACTATGTCTAAATTATCTGTACGTTGGCATAATATGATCGTCTTGTCTTGTTAGAATATCTAGTAAACTACTTGAAGGTTGGGACTGTTGCATTTTTGTCTTTGTATCCCCAGCACACCATTCCTGGCATGTAGTAGGTATTTAATTAATGCTTGTTGATTTATTGACAAATGAAAAAAATTTACAAATTTTGCATGTGCGCACATGTGTATATGTCTTAAAGAGATATGACATATCAGAAGCAGAGTAAGGCAGAAGTAGGCTTTTTGGGAAGAGTATTAAAAGGATTAATACTATACAAATTTTTAGATTGGTAGGGTAGAAGGAGAGGTCATTCAAAATGGGAAGATTGGTTTGAGCTAAAGACACTGAAGACTAAGATGAGCAAGACATGGAAGAAAGTAAGAGTACCAGTCAGTGGCTGGAACTTGAGATGGTAAGTTGCTCTGGTTCTGTCTCCCAGATCCAAGCCAGCTGTACTACCCTTCAGGATTCCTGAATACCCAGAGGAATTTTGTGGTCTTATTGATGGCAATGACTTCAGCCTCTCCTGGGTGGTAACTGCTGCCCACACCTACCATTATTAGCCACTGGTAGCTAATATCCCAGTTGCATTTAACCTCTTACTATTGCTTAGCTTTTATAAAAGGATATTTGCTTCAAAGGTATAACAGAAAGCAATTAAAAACTTTCTCCCCAGTGCCTTGAGGGACATACTCTCTCCTAAACTACTTAAGTCTCTGGTGGGAAGAAGACTTGTAACTTAGCATAAGGAAATTTCCTACAAAGCATCCAAATTTATGTCCAAATGTGACATAACTTTTGGATGACTTCTCATTTCAGCTACTGCTGACTGGATCTTGAATATCATTTTGAAGGCCATTCCTTGCTCTATGGGGCATATAAGCTGCCCCAGACTGTGGAATGCCAGGATGCCTAGATACTCTCCTAACCTTTTACGTTCTCAAGGTCATGGTGGCTTTACTCATTTCATTAGGAACAGAAAAAAAAAATGCCAAGGTCAAGGACTGAGGTTCTTTTGCTGGGCCATATCATGTAGTTTTGTTGGGTCTTCAGAGAGGAAAAGGCCCTGTTATTTCTCCCCTTATAGCACTGTCTCTCAATAGAGGTTGAGGTTCTGAATAAAGTCATCAAATGAACTAAAAGGAAAAAGTTATAGCTGACAGACCTTTCCTGAATGACTCTGCAGCCAAAAGGCCTCCTGTTCATCATGTGGTTAGCAGACCATATTCATGAGTCTTCCATAGGCTTTCCAAGGCACTTATGTGTCATCAAAGTTGTCCTGTAATCAAGCTCCTTAGGGTCTTCCGCATGGAGAGACACCATCTGTGGCATGCTGCAAATGCACCAGCCCTCCATTACCTATATATTAGAAGTGAAGATGCTAGTAACATTAAGAATATTCTGACAGTTTGAAAATAATTTCCTTCCTAATCAACTGGCAGTTTAGAATGTATTCCCTGTCATAGATGCACTTTTTTTTTTTTTTAAATTCAAGCTTCATTGTCTGTATATCCACATTTGGCTTGCTGAATAGCAGTTTGCATCTTCAGGGTATGTGTTTTTATTCCTAATCATTGATTTGCTGAAGTGGAAAATTCTGGAGTAGACTGATTGTTCTTCAAACAACTTAGAATCATTTTGGTACGTCTAAGTCTGGTTGGTAGAAGTGCAAGCCAAAAATAAGTGGTTTTGGTAAAGTGGGTTGTAATTTGGAGTTTACACACCCACGCCCCTCACCCAACACCACTTATTTCTTAGCATGTTTACTAAACTCGGTGACAGTGTTCAAATCTACCAGCTTGCAAGCCATAAACAGTTGTAAAATTAAAATCTCAAAATCTTACTAATTATTTTTATTCTGATTAGGATGTTGTTTTCGATTATCATGTAGTTTAGTTTCTAGATGGACATAAATATAGAAGTATTTTGGAAGCTTTTTTTTTTTAACATGAAGACCTACATATTTTAGAAGAGTTGTTTTGGAACCAAATTTTACCCTTAAGATATTTTCTGAATTATCAAAAAGAAAATATTTTGATTGCTGATCCTGGTGTCTTTTCTCTGGATAAAATTAATATTGATGTACACTATGCCTCCAAAGCAAGAAGACTCTCTTGCTAGTGAATAGAAACAACTTCTTTTGTGCTTGAGTTTGTTTTTATAACTTACCGTGTATTATAGTAATTCATGCAC